AGAATAATAACAAGACCCAACTCAAAACGAAGAGAAATCTAAAATTTAAGATAATTAAATCTTACAATATAATAAAAAGGACCCATCAACCAAACTAGGGATTTTAATACTAGGAGTACAATGCTGGAAAACCAACAAACCATAATGTAATTCACCGTATTAAAAAATGGAAATATGCTCTGAGGGAGGAGAATGGCTCATGGGCAACTGACTTACCTAGTGAGACCCTGTCTCAAAATTTAAAAACACAAAAATTAAAAGAGATCAGTATGTAGCTGATTGCCAACACTCACTGGGTTCAATCCAGTAATGCAAAAAATAAAAGATCCCAGAATGGTGGCTAGTTCCCTCTGCCAAGTGAAAACACAAGAAGAACCCTCAGTCTCTGAACCAGGAATTTGGCCCCTCAACTGACACTGAATCTGCCAGTGCCTAGATCTTGGACTTCCTAACCTCCATAACTATAAGAAATACATTTCTCATTTAAAAACTACCTAATATATGGTTTTTGTTATAGAAGTATGAATAAGCCTCAACAGATTAAGACACCAACATTCATTCATAACAAACACCCTCACAAAACAGGAATAGATAGGAAATCTTGAACTTGAAAAGTGACTACAATAAGCCTATAACTAATATCATATTTAAATCAAAATTGTACTAGAAGTACAACACAGTGTAAACTGACAGTTATGGGAATAAAAGGCAACTAAACTAGAAGGAAAGCTATTTAGAGACAACATGACTACCTGTATCAAACCAAGCAATTTATATAACAGCTACTAGAACTAATAAGCAAGTTTAATAACATCGCAGGGATATAACATCAACATTCAAAAATCAGTTTTATAGCCTGAGGAATCAGATGTCATTTAAAAAATATACTATTTACTACAGCATAAAAAAATGTGAAATAACAGTGTTGGGGGTTTAGCTCAGTGGTTCTGCTGCCTGCTTCATAAGTGTAAGATTGTACCTTCTACAAAGTACTACTGGAAAAAAAATCGTATTAATGGAGAGAGAGACATTACTCAAGAAGACTCAGTACTATTAAGATGTCACGTCCCCCAAAACCAATCTATAAATCCAAAATAATTCAAAGCAAAATCCAGAGATTAATAAAATTTAATTTCTACTAAAAAAAAAAAAAGGCAGAGATCGACAGATTCTAAAATTCAAATAAACTGCACATCTGTAATTCCAGCACTCAGGAAGGAGGCTGAGGCAGGAGGTCACCTCCAGTTCAAGAGCTTCCTAGTAAATTTAAGGATAGCCTAAACCACAAAGCGAGTGCCTGTATCCAAAAGGACAAATAGGTAAAAAATAAAAAGCAAAAGATTTAGCCAAAACACTAGAAAAAAGCAACAAAATGGCAGATATAACACTATCTTTTCTATAAAGCTACAGTAATCAAAACAGTGTAATCCAGACATAGTGATCAATCTTTAATCCCAGTTACCCTGGAGGCAGAAGCAAGAGAACTTGAATTTAAATTCAGACTAGGCCAAAAAAGCAAGATCTTGTTTGTTTGTATTTATTTATTTATTTGTGGTACTGGGGATTGAACGTGGGACATTGTGCTTGTGAGGCAGGCAGCAGAACCACTGAGCTAAAACCCCAGCCCAGCAAGACCTTGTTTTAAAGAATAAAACAGCCAGGCCTGATGCTTCACGCCTGTAATGCCACAACTTCAAAGACTGAAGCAGGATTGCCATCCTGGGCTACATAATGAATTTGAGGCCAGTCTGAACTATACAGTGAGACTCTGTCTCAAAAAAAAAAAAATCAATCAATCTGAATAAATAATTAAAACATGAAACAAATCTGTGTGGTCCTGGAATAAAATAAAATCAGTGCAACAGGAAGAGTTCATGTGTGTTTGGCCAATACATTCTAAAAAAATACACATGGCCAATTTAACGGAGAAAGAAAAGGCATTCCAATGAGTGGTACTAGAATGACTAGATAGCCAATTAACAAAAAAAATTTTAAATCTTCCACTTTAAATTTGTATGTCATCACCAAAATTATTCAAAATGCAACACAGATCTAAATACAAAACTTAAAACAACAAAATTTCTGAAAAAAAAAACCATGTAGATGATGCAGCACGCTTGGAATCTTAGCACTCTAGAAGATTGAGGCAAGAGCAAGTTCAAGCTTGGACAACTGTGACTCAGACTGGCAAAAACTGTACAAATTTTTAAATGGCTAGGGATGTAGCAAAAGCCCTAGGTTCCCCAGTATTATGCATTCACACAAAATAAAGAGTACCGAAGAGAAAATGAGAGTACTTCATAAAAACATTTTCAGATATTCAACAAAGAAAAATTATTTTGATCATCCCTTCTGGAAAGCTACTAAAGGGATGTGCAATATTCAAGTAAACAAACCAAAAGAGTGAAATCCACATGACTAAGGAACCCATGGAATGCAATACAAGAAGTAAGTGAAGGTGATCTTCAGAATCATTAAGAGAACAATGTCAAGAAATAGCTGTGAGCACTACAAGGAATTCTAAACAAGATCCTAGAAAAAGACAATGAAGGCAGCAACACCATGAGGCCCAACACAGCAAATCAAATAGGCAAGGCAAGAAATTAAAAGGAGGTGAAAAAGTAAAAAGAGTCAACAAAAGGCCAATAACATGTCAATAATAAGTCAGTACATATCAGTTATAACCAGCATTGTCAATGGCCTCAACTCACCAATCAAGAGAAATAGACTGGCAAAATGGAATAAGAAGCAAAATCCAATAATATGTTGTATACAAGAAACACACCTAGTGCAAAAAGCCCATAGACTGAAATTGAAAAGATAGAAAACAATTCTCCATGTGACAGGAGCCCCCCAAAAAAACAGGGGTAGCAATCTTATTTGCAAAGTAAATTTCAAACCAAAACTGAATCTAGTATTATTGATGTATGACAGTACTGTATCATACCTCTATGAATGTAAAATATCTAGTACCTGCTTTATGATACATAGTAGGGACCGTGCTTTATCAGAGCTACATTTAATGATATTACTCTAGAATGTTCTCTTTCCAGATGATGATTAAGAGGCTAATAGAAAAAATGGTGCCAGGTACCACAGCAGCAACAGAACTTTGCTGTTGTCTGGATATTATT